CCTCTCTGCCTTTGATGGGACAATTATTTCACTTATTAGTTTGAAAATAGTTCTGAGAAATCCAAACAGGTAGCTTCTGGGATAGCCTGCAAGTCCCTAGTAGCCTAGCAACTTCTATTATACTAAGTCCAGATTTGTAAAAAATTCAAATCCCTGGAGAAAGAAAATTACAGCAGGGAGTCACTGTTAAGAGGTCATCTCTTAACATATATTTTGAATTGGTCAAATGAGAAGATAGGAATATGGAGAACAGAGGAAAGACAGGATTGTTTAAGTGACGTCTAACAGATTATTATTGCAAAAAAATTTCAGCCTCAAGATTTTCCCAGTCATAGTAATTATAATGGACGTTTATAAAGCACTTTGTGTGTGTTCAGGCACTTCTCTATGTTGCTTTAATTCTCCAAACAACCTTATAAGGTAAATATTTATATTACTCTTTTATTTTTAAAGATGAGGAGACTGACACTTGCAGAAGTCACATACCCTAAACATTTCAGTTTAATAATAGAAACCAATAAGGACACAAATGACACTTTACAGCAGTCTTTAGTATGAGTGTATCTGGAATGAATTTTCTGAAAAGGTTGTAGGTCTCACTATCTACTTAGAGGCAAAGGGTTTAAAGATACAGATATTTATAAAAATTATGAACACACACAATTTTTATTTTATCTAAATCTAATGTTTTGATAATTCTGTGAAACCAATTGCATATGTGAACTTCTTGTGAAAGGAGAACATAAGTAACATGATCAATAAGTTTATGGAACAACTTGAAATTAAATCTACTTACTTTGGACTAGAAAGCATTCTTCTTGAGCAGAAATAAAATAAATAAACAAATAAAATACATGAGATACAAGTTTGTAATTTGGTTATAACTTGAAAGCGGAAATTATAGATATATGTACAAAATGTTGGAAAAAAATAGACCAAAATATTAGAGGTGGTTGTGTTGGGGTCGTGGGACTATAGCCAATGTTCTTCTTCCTTCTACATATACTTTTCATTTTATTTGAGTGGTTATTACCTCCATGATGAAAAATATTGAAGTATGGAAATAGGAAACATAATTACAGAGTGCCATAATCAGAGTCTTGGAGTTATAATTATATTATCTAGAATAAATTTCTATAAATTATGGGAATCCATTATTTAAAAAAATTTTAGGGAGTAATATGCATATTTGTTAGATTTGAGATCCTAGAAACTTACTATGTCAAAAGGAAACCTACCTAATTATCAAGTTTTATATATTAGAACTAGATATTGGATTTTTAATATCTACTTATTGGAAACTTCTTTATATTAACCTAAATTTTATTTTACTATTCTGGCTTAAACTTAAAAATGCAGAATGATCTCTAGGTTTAAAAAAGAAATTAAAGGAAATGTTGTGCTCATTTGCTAGTAATTTTGAAGTGCTGTTTTATTCAGGGCACTCTGCTAAGCACTAATTGAGGCTTACCAAGACCAATAAAATAAGTCCCAAAGAGCTCCCAGTCTAGTTGAAGACATGAAACATTTACTCAAATAATGGTTGGGTAACCAATTGAAGACATTAGAGAGAGAGACTGTAATGAGGGTGAAAATTAAATGAGGCAACATATATAAAGCACTTTGAACATTGCTAATACACAGTCAATGTAATAATATTAGATATTATCACCATTGTTATTGTTATTTGCAAAACTTTTTCTTCAATGTTGATGAGATACCACTTTTTAAGGTGATATGGCTATTTACAGGGCACATGGAAAACTGACCAAATAACCTCAGTCTATCATTTGAGAGTATTTTAAAAGGCTAGTTTAAAATCTGAATAATTTTAAGATCCCATTGAATATTCCCCTTTATAATTATGACAGAAGATAGTATAAAAGATCGATCATTTGTGTATGAACAGAGGGTGATGTGTAAAAGTTATAATCAGAAAAGGAAAAAACTTACTAAGAACACATAAAAACTATCCCATAAATGTGAATCTCTTCTAATAATCTTATTGTACAAAGAGATCAAGGTTATTATCTTAATTCTGTAAGCTAAGGACTTTCTACTTTCCTGACTGTATCTAGGTCCTTTCCCTGACCTAATAGGCTTTCTAGAGACCAGTCTTAAATTCTAGTTTATCCTCAAGGAAAAATAGAACATGCCCAGCTCACAATAAAACAAGTGTCTGCACACTGAATGCTTATTGCATGTCCAATGCTTTATAAATCCAACCTCCTTGAAGTGCATTAACACTTCGAGACAGGCATTATGATCCCTATTTTTCAAATGAGAACATGGAGCCTCAGAGAGATGGGTTGACTTCCCCAAGGTCATGAAGCTCATAGATGCCATAGCAGGAACTCACACCTACCTTGGTCACATCACGACGCCGTGTGGAAAGTTGAAGAAGTTTTACTAAAAAATAAAAAAAAAACAATATTTTAGGAAATACTACCTTTTAAAACATATATAGAAATTTCAAGAATAAAACATAGAACAACCCACCATGAATGGAATATAAAAGCAAAAGAAATTTATTTTTGATTCCCTGGAGACCCTCCCAGAAGCCCAGGGTCAGGAGGGGGAGTCAAGATTCACCAGCAGGTGAAGGCCCTATCTCTGACTTTCCATTATGGGGGAGCACCTGTCTCTTGCAGCAGCTCTGTGTCTGGATTTAGAAATGAACATGTATTCAGCGAGTGTTAATGGCCACTCCTGGCCTTCATGGGGCCTTTGGTTTGCCTTAAATATTTTGTTTCTTACATAGCAGTCTCTACTGCCTATTAATTTGATGCTGGTCCCTAAGGACAGTAACCCTACATTGGAAGGAAAGTGGTTTTTGTAAATATGTCAGTGTTTCCATGTAGGGAGGAAAAATAATTTGCTGAGTGCTCTTTAGAACCAGATAATTTCCCAGGGAACTGTCCAGTACTGTTGTTGGTGTAAAGGGGCAGATGCCGCCAGACCACATGCAGCTCATCCAGGACCATCGAAGAGCCTCTTTCTCTGAACGAGAGCTGCTTTTTAATTAGACGTTTTAGGTGGTCTGTGTGAGTCATAGTAATTCATACTATCAAAAACACAATTATCTTAAATAGTTTAGGGTCTCCAGCTGGATTTAATTAAGCAGAAGTTAAGCAGAAGCCCCCTTCCGCCCCCCCCCGTTTGTACTCGCCAAATGGTCGTTGATTTCATCTAAATTTTAAAAGTCCTGTGTTATGTATGTTTTTAAGGTTCTGAATAACTTTTTTGTTTTTGTTTTTACAAATCCTGGTATAAAACAGAAGAAGTGCTTTTCTAAAATGAGAAGCCATAGTTAGTTACTGGGAAAATGAAAACATGGGCTGTAGAGTCAGAAACGCTTGGGTTTGAATTTAGTTGCTGCCTCTTCACTAAATAGAGGACTTTGAATAAGTCTCTTACTCTCGCTGAGATGCCATTTACCACAGAGGGTTGTTGGGAAGGTAAATAACACGACGCCTGGCCACACCATGACTCCAACTAATTTAAGAAGATTGTTAATCGTAGCCTACAAATCCTTCCCCACTCTCACTCCATTCCCTTCCCTTCCCACTCAGCAACAATTACTGTTATTCTAAAATTTCTAGTTTTTATCTCCATGATTTTTAAGATTACATCTGTTTATGACCCTAAGCCAGTGATGGCGAACCTATGACACACGTGTCAGCGGTGACACGTGAACTCATTTTTTTGGTTGATTTTTCTTTGTTAAATGGCATTTAAATATATAAAATAAATATCAAAAATATGTCTTAATTTTACTATAGTTGCAGATATCAAAAAATTTCTATATGTGACACGGCACCAGAGTTAAGTTAGGGTTTTTCAAAATACTGACACGCCGAGCTCAAAAGGTTCGCCATCACTGCCCTAAGCAATATACATACATCCTTTTATTCACCTTGTATATTTTTACACTTATCTCTGTTCTTGGCTCCAGGTCACCTCCTTCATGAAGTCTTCCCCAATTCCCTAGGCTCCAGCTCCTTGACTGTCCCTGACTTTAGGATTGTTCTTCTCTAACCCTTTCCCCAAAAAGAATCCTGTCATTCTCCCAATTAACACTCTGGAGGTTCCCCAGTTCTCCATAGATCAAGGTTTTATGAAAATTATACCTTACATTTCTCAATTTTATGTTAGACTTACCAATACGTAAACCGATACAACTTACTCTTTTAGGAACATTGTATAGATACTAACTCATACATAACAATAAATATAGTTTTAGATGCCATTATAACTACTCATCCCTAGTTGAAATATTGTTTAAACACAAATCCCATTGATTAAAAGAAACATGTATATTTTTCATTTTTACTCCTTTATTATCTTATGTAAAACCAACTGCAGTCATGAAAACATGTTATGTCTGTTTCTGACTTTCATGGTCTTGAATTAAAAATGGTGGCTTCATAGGTGACATGATCACTCATTGTTATGGAAGAAATTTTTTTCTTAATAGCAACTTGAAGAAAAAAAGAGAAAAGCAACTTGAAGCTTAAAGAAAAAACCATAGGAAAGAAAAATACTCAAGGCTCTAAATAAGACTCCTTAAGTAAAAGATGGCCCTTTAATTACCTAGAAGGCATGACTCTTAATCCTTTACAAGCCACAGATTTTATTTGTTCATGCCCAACAAGCTGACTTCTTTATGGATGTTTCCATTGAAATTTTCAGCAGTTCTATTGATGCCACTTGTTAATTGAAGTCCACATTGATTGCTCTTGATTTCTCTGAATTCTTTGTTTTGGTCTTGATATGTACAGGTGGCTCCGGAATGCCTTAAGGGGGACTTTAGACAATCTTTTCTGGCTGACAGGAAAGGCAATGGTACATGCAGCTACAAGCATACTGTTCTTACTTGGGGTGTTTTGGGACATTGATCATCTTCTAGTCAAATAGAAAGACAAGAGAAAGAAAGACTATACTCAGTAGTAAAGCTATATTAATTTAAATGTCTTTTTTTTCTTTTTATACTTTTCTAGGAAATAAAAAATCGACTTCAAAAGTAACCATGCGGATCCCATATAGCACTCGCTGGTGCTTAATATTCTTCATCTTCATGAATGTAAGTAACACAAAATTATTCTAAGCTATGTTAATCAAGAATGCCAAAATATGGAAGAATGTTTTTGGTATGAGTGAATGGACATTAGTCAAAATAAACATTGCTCTCCAGAAGCCAAACTAAGTTCCTCAAAACTGTCATTTTCTTGAAATTTTGCTAAGAAATCTCCCCTCAGAACTTACACTGATTTAGTTAGTGTTAGGTTTACCCAGAAATGTGAGCATTGTTGGTTTACAAAAATGTAGCATTAATTAGAGATACCTCTTTATTATCTTGGATCTTAATATTGAAGATTAATGATGTTTTTCGATGAAATGTTTTTAATGTTAGATACGTGACTCTGAGTTACAGGGTCTGGGCTGCTGTCTTTTTAAAACATCTGAATTCTTTCCGTCTGTTTATTGATTCCCAAGTGTATTTCTTACCAAAAACTCACTCAGAGTTTTAAGTCTTGACATACCACTGTCATTCTATAACTCTCGAGCCTTTTAAATCATGTCCATTTTATATAATTTGTATTGTTTTATTCCTAAATTTAGCAAGTAATCAGAACTATAATTGTCTTAGAAAACCCTATCAATACCTATTTTTTCTCAACTTTGTTAACCCACCATCACATAATTTTAATAGCACACAAAAGGGAGATGAGTAAATTTTATATAAATAAATTTGGAGTTGTCTTGATCCACATCAGAACAACAATGGCCAATTAATTATAGTTGACAGCAAATATCACTTAGTATCTGAAACTGTTTGCATAGGGTTTCATGATTTCCATTGTCCTTTAATGTGTAGTCACTGGCTTACAGATTTGCATAAATGTCACATTACTCAAGGAAATATTACTAATATTCTACAAATGTGAATTTACTTTTTAAAGGGAATTTTTATTTTGTAATGTTATACATCAAATAAATGATTTATGGGGATAACTTAAAATAGCCCTTTTTGTACCTATTTGAATAATGAGTATAGTTTATTTTATTATGTAAGACTATCATATTATCTTAATCTTTAGATAAAGTACAGTATAATCCAGTATTTAGAAATGCAGGTACTTTGATATCATTGGAAATACAATAAAAATATTTAACATTGTAGAAACAATCAGAATATTTTATTTCATCTGTAAATGTCCAAGTCTTATTGCTATTCTTTAGATGCAGAAATATAGGTACATTGTTCATATATTGATATTGTTATTTTTCATAGATTGAGTGAAATCCTATCTGATCAACTATATATGAGTATTTCTAAATAATTTTATTTCATAAAGCATATGATTATATTAGACATTGATACAAGGAAAACTAAAGTAAGTAGAAAACTAGATAATAACAAGGAAGTTTGAGTATTATCCCATCACCTTTTTTATTATGAAGGCTACAGATAATTTTTGGTGTGTTAAAAAACTGAAGCAGGGCACTTTTATTCAAAACTTTTACCCGATATATTATAAAATTCAAAGATTGTAAGAATCTCTTACATTTGCATGAGCCATGGACAGAAATGTCCTATGGTTTGTGGGCATCTCTTCACTAGCAAAACATAACTGCACAGGCCACTTCAGTGGTTTTGTGCTCTCTCGGCATACAGAAATTTCCTTCTCTATCTGAATTTGAATTATATATTTTATTTGAAGGACTTGTCCATAAAACCTTTTTTACCCATCAATTTCCTTTCACAACACTCATTATATTCCACATTGATACTCCTTAGAGAAAAGTAAATTTTTTAAACAAAATGACATTGATTTTAATTACTCTAAAATACTTCACATTATTGTGGGGGAAAAAAACCTGCCTGTATATTTATTGAATTCTACCAAACTGCTTCCAAATGGACCAGAAAGTATCAGTTTGAGTCACAACATTTAATTAGCCTCATCTACATGAATCAAAACCGCCCACTCACTTCCTCTCCCTTATCTGCAGTAATGCAATAGGCTTAGGACAGCGCTTAGCACATAGTGAGTGCTCAAAAAAATGCTAGTGATGGTCATAATGACAACAACAATGATGAGAGCATTTTGATGATATTTCTTTAGCTGATCCCCCCGTTTGCTTTGAATTTATTACATATGCAGCAGTTTGGGTGTTTACTGCTTAAGTAGAAAGTACATAGGATATCAACCAGGCATCTGATCCCACCTCAAAGAACCAGGACTAATACTTTACAAAGTTCTATTTTATCCTTTGTTACTTTGAAAAGTATAAGTAACTGAAAATTGCCAATAATTCTTACACCTACATTATTGCAAACAATTTCTCTGTTTGCAAACAGTTTCTATTCAGATGGCTTGGCTAGAATTGCCAAAACAATTCTAAGAGGGAACTACCTTCTTCTTGGTAGTAAGGTTTTTCTTTCCCAACTTGTCCCCTTTCTCAGATCCCTACCAGATTTTTCTAGTAATATAAGATAAAACATCTGGCTATTTGACTAATACTATTCTCCATTTCTTATATTCAAATATGCCTTCATGTTTTTATTCTTTGAAAAAAAAGCTGTGAGTTGCTCTTTGTTGTTCCAATATGAGATGCTCTCTAACCCATATCTTCAGCTTCCTGGTTGGTCTCTCCCAACTAATCAATTGGACATCTGAAGCCTCCCACAAGAATTTTACCAACACTCTCCACTCACAACCTTCACTGATCAAAAAGCTACAAAATATATTTCATTATCATTGCAATAACATTAGCTAAAATGCATTGAGCCTCTCATGTCCCACCACTTTGTATTTGTTTTAGCCAGGTTCTTTAGTATCTAATTTTTTTTACTCCACTTCTTATTATCAATACATTTTGGAAAACTTCAATGTTAGATTAATGAGACAGAGAAAAGTCAAATAAAAGTATGTTTCAACAGATAGAGAGGCAAAGAGTATTCCTAACTTCTGAAGAAGAAAAGTCAGTGCAGGCTGAAGCTTGCAAGTCCTCTTAAAAAAAATCTCCATGCAGAACCTGGATGTGAAAAATCACAGATTCAAACACCACTAAAATGTCATAGCCACAAAAGAAATTGGCTACTCTAGGAACACAATTAGACAGTGATCTTTACACACACGCGCGCGCGCACGCACACACACGCGCGCGCGCACGCACACACACACACACATTTTAATAAACAATACCTAGGATGGTGATAAGGATTAATCGAGACTGACAAAACAAATGTCAGACTGTACCAAAAATGCAAAATATCTAAAAGTAATAATCAAGATTTACATTGATTTTCACCCATGCAAATGAATGACTGTATAGGTGATCTGTTGATTAAACCAATTAAAGGGATTAAGGCCAGTTATTCAAAGCAGAACATCTCAGAACAGATTTATTTGTTCTATGTAATAAATAGAATAAATTTGTGGCAATGTGCACAATATAAGCACAAATAAAAACCAGCTGAAGAAATCCAATACAAAAGCTTATTTAGTGTACTAATATGTATATCTAGTTTAAATAATATGATTAATGATTCTTAAGAGTTCCGAAGACAACAAAGTTGATTTAATATTCGTATTTTTTGGAAATTAGGTTATTTTCTTTGTATACATCTAAACTTACAGTAGTAATATAATTTTTAAAATTTTGTATGATAAAGATGTGCATGAGTTTGTATGGCTGCTTTACATTTTCAATAGTGAATGGAATGAATGTTATAAAGCAAAAATATTCCACATGGAGATTATGTATAATTGTTTATAGGAGGAAAAATAAATGTTTTCAAATTTTTTATTGTTTCATTTATTTATGTAAACACCCATTCATACTCTCTATAATTAACTGACTTTTTTTTTAAATACAGTTTCCAACCCTTCTTGCCTCTGTTCAAAGCAAAATCACCGCTCCAAAAGCGGAGGACTCATTTCTGGTCAGATTAGGAAAATGGAAAATGCGCATTGCAGAGGCCAAATGCCTACACCGAATGGAAAAGCTGCCCCCATACCAAGGAGAAGGTAAAGAGAAGGATGTATGTAAATATGTGTTTCAAATATCATTGAAGGTTTATTTTCTTCCGTGAGTAAATATGTATTGACTGATTTTAATTTAATATGCCCGCAGTTTTACCAGTGGCTTTCATTCCATAGTATTTTTGTGCATTATATGCAGCAGACATGCCTAGTTTCTCTGCTCAAGTTCATCCAAAGACTCTCTGGCTAACATCTGCATTTAGGACAAAATTACTACAATAACAGTATTCACACCTAGCAAGCAGGAACAATACAGGACTAAGTGAAGGAAAGGAATTGGAAAATGACAAGAAGGGAGTTGGAAAATGGTGGGCAGAAAATTTGCCTGAGGTGGAACCTGATAAAACCTGGTCTTATTTGGGTTAATTAGGCAGTGTCTTCCTTTACCTGTCAGTCAGTTCGTAACTCATGCTAGTCCTTCTCCCTTTCTACCTCCAGTTCCCAGGTGAACTGGAAAAAGACATCTCCTAGGCAGAATTGTTTGTCTAGCACCTTCTCTAAACGCTCCATGTGATTGCCCAAATAGTCTCAGGGCCAAGCATATGTGATTAGCTATAGAGAGCCCATGGGAAAACAAAAGTATGTTTCAACACATAGAGAGGCAAAGAGTATTCCTAACTTCTGAAGAAGAAAAGTCAGTGCAGGCTGAAGCTTGCAAGTCCTCTTAAAAAAAATCTCCATGCAGAACCTGGATGTAAAAAATCACAGATTCAAACACCACTAAAATGGCATAGCCACAAAAGAAATTGGCTACTCTAGGAACACAATTAGACAGTGATCTTTACACACACACACACACACACACACACACATTTTGATAAACAATACCTAGAATGTAGATGGCCAAGCATGGCTACGTCCATTTAAATTCTCTCCCTTGTCCCCTAAATCATTTGAAAAAAGCCAACAAGATCTTGGACACCCTTGTGTATTCTAAGACACCCTTGTGTATTCTAAGACACCCTTGTGTATTCTAAGACGACACTCGTGGTGGGGGGCCGGGGGGAGGGGTGATGTTAAATATACTCTATTACTAGACATGGTTTGTCTTCAGATAGCTAAAATTTTAATTTGTTTAAACAATAAACCAGGTCGGTTTTTCTGCCTGAAGTAGTTTCAGTATTTTTAAGAACCTGAAAAGGCATTAGATGCAACTCACCACCAAAAAGAAACCATTTCTCTGAGGTAAATGAGACAATAGAAACACAAAGATGGTATTTTCAGAGACCAAGTGAGTGCAGTCACCTTCACTTCTATCTTACTAGTAGTTACCTCAGGATTTTGCTATTAATTATTATTTAAAACTTTTTATTTTAGAACTGCCTTTTATACTCACACAATACTCATTCTTTTGAATCTCTGTGTAGAGATAAATCTTCATATTTTGGAGTAGATTTAATTTTTGAAAGCAGTGAGAAACCACTTGGAGGCAACATTGATGAATACAGAAAGTGATCAAACTGAGCATTATTTTAGCCATTAGTAAAGTGTTACTCTAAAGTAATAAGACTGTTTATATGTGATCTAACTGGATGCAAATGCATCTTCAGTTGGAATTTTGAACCATTTCATCACCCTTGAATTAGGAATAGAACCATCCAAGGAAACCACTTTGAAGATTAGTGGTTAGTAAGATTCATATGTTCCAAAGCCATATCGTTTTTTTCAAGGTAAGCTTATCCAAGGGTGATTGTGCATATACTTTCACAAAAGTTTTCTTATCGCACTTCCAAAGATGCTTTAAAGGAAAGAGTTTGGATGAAGGATTCCATACAGAAGACGTGTGCCTTTTGATGAACAAATGGAGAAAACACTACAAAAATGTAAATTCCATTAGTGGTCAGTAAAGTTAACACCATTATTTTGTGGCTACTGCTGCAACTGTTGTTTTTTTAATATAGTTCCAAAGTGAAAAGCCCCAGAAGAATTGTCTATGCACTATTAAACCCCACTAAGGCAATTTTTGACAATGGCAATGCTAATTTCTTTCTAAATGGCCAGGTCTGTATTGTGATCGCATGTGGGATGGATGGCTGTGCTGGGATGACACACCGGCTGGAAAAACAGTCACTAAGCAATGCCCAGATTATTTTCCCGACTTCGATACAACAGGTAGAATATTTGTTTTTATATTATATTTTGCTATGAAGCTTTTAGAGTTTTCATGGTCCTCAAAAAAAAATCAGATATAAAATATACATATCTAGTCATACTCTACACAGTTTAGCATGTTCTGAAACATTTCCATAAATGAAATACTACCTGGTTGCACAAATCTAACAAGCTGTCCTTATTTTATATATTTATTTGATTTTTTTTATTTTTAGAGAGAGGAGGGAAACGGACAGAGAGAGAGAGAAATTGGTATGCAAATGAAACACCAATCTCCTACCTCCTGCATGCCCCCTACTGGGGATTGAGTCCACAACCGGGCAGTGCCCTGACCAGGAATCGAACTTTTGACCACATGGGGGTGGCCATTGTACAATGGTGTGATAGTCAATTTGCGTATTACCTCTTTATTATATAGGAAAATAGTAAT